CTGATTAATCATCGATCATTCGCAATTATAATAAATTATATACTATTATTAGATGGATTAGTATAATCTCTTTAAATTTCGAAGGAAATTTATTTAATTCATTCGCAATTGAGAAAAAGAGAAACAATAATATTCGTTTAATTTTTAATATACATTGCAAATTTTAATTTCAATAAACGCGATCGAAACCAATTTTTCTGTAAACCGATTTCTGATCATCGATCACTCGCAATTATAATAAATTATATACTGTTAGATGGATTAGCATAGTCTCTTTAAATTTCAAAGGAAATTTATTTATCTCAATCGAGACCAATTTTTCTGTAAACCGATTTCTGATCATCGATCATTCGCAATTATAGTAAATACGAGGTGCAATTATTAATACCGTTATTAGGGGTTAGTATAGTCTCTTCAATTCCAATTTTCAAATTTATTTAATTCATTCGTAATCGAAAAATTATTTCAATATATATATATATATTGAAATAATTATAATAAATTATATACTGTTATTAGGTAGATTAGCATAATCTCTTTAAATTTCAAAGAAAATTTATTTAATTCATTCGAGCAATAGAAAAAATATATAAATAATATAAACAATATAAATAAATTTCTCGCAATCGAGAATTGGAGAAATACAACAGAGAAATAGAAAAGGATCATAATATTCGTTTAATTTTTAATATACGTTGCAAATTTCAATTTTTAAATATTTTCTATTATTTACAATTGAAGCAAAGAAATATGAGATCTGTTGTAAAGATCGAGTGTTCACAGTTTCGAGGATGGATTATATTCATTTCGACTTCTGTCCAGGTAGGAGATATAATAAAATCGTCCCATTTACAATTTCTGGGGGAACGGCGTCGTGACGAGTCGATTGAAGAGGAGCGCGGGTTGATTGTAAAGGGGGAATTCGGAATGGCCGGTGACCGTCTGGTATGTTCGATTGTCGTCTGGCCAGGAAATCGAGCGAGGAGAACACGAGGAAGGTGGGGCAATCGTGCTCGCGACGAGCGGAAGTCGGCCGGCAAGGTAGCAACGGACTCTGTTCCCGATTCTTGAAAGCTCGAGGGTGCCGCAAACACCACTTTATTGATTTCCCCGAGTTTAAAGGGAAGCACTCGGTCCGCATACGCACAGAACTACGTCCAATCCCTTCCCATTTCAATCCAAGCAATAAGAAGATATCCTTTCCATCATCCAATTTCGCGTGTAATTTTTTGCAAGATAAAATATAATAAAAAATAAAAAAAAAATATAAAAATAAAAAATAAAATATAATAAAAATAATAAAAGGTAAAATAATTGTTTCTGATACTTTTCGATTGGTGTATTTCTTCTTATCTTGCATAGACTGATATATATGTATATATATATATACATATATTATATGTATGTAGATTCAATCGTGGTTGGAAAAAATAATAAGAAAAAAAGAAAAATATCGCGGAGACGATATAGGATGGCAATGAGCGATAAGGTGATAACACGATAGGTTGAAAGTTACATTTCTCATTATCTTGCAGGTGTGAAAGCGGCGGCCAAGGACGAAAGAATTTTCAAATCACTTACGTAGTTGTTTGCTCGACGGGCAAACTTTTTTTTATCTTGTACGCGTGAACATTTTTTTCGTCGCATCATTAGGAAGACGAAATTATATTTAGATAGGGGATAAAGAATCATCCGTTGGAAAAATACATTCTTTTTTTTTTTTTTTTTTTTTTTTTTTT